AAACAACTTTTTCCCCAGGACTTGCTGTTCTATTTATAAAAAACATGGCAAGAGAGAACCAGGATTTTTCAAGGAGGATACACCAAACTGTTGTAACTGTGTGATAAAGATTATTGCTGCTACGATAGTAAAATCCAAGAGCATAGGTTTAGTATTAATGGACTTAACAAACGCGCATTAGAAGATTGTGGAGATAGCCAGATGGCAAAATATCAACAAATACTAAATGAGGCAGTGAACTTAAAGTCAACCATAATAGGGTTTTAAACGATTAACCATTTAGTTGGAACCTATGACCAAACTAAAAGAGGACTGAGCCGTTTTTGTCTTCAACGGAAAAATTAATTTGATGGAATATCTACTAAACGTTTCAATTTGCATGAGATTTTGAAGTAAACCTATATACGATGCTGTAAATTAATACATTTTCTCTGTAATTAATTTTGTTCAACATTTTTTTTTAAAAGCCGCGCTTCGGTTAACAATTTATTGTTTTTTGATTTGGAAAACAATTAGATTCTTAAACATGGCTGTATCAGCAAAATCGGTGGCCAAAATGTTTTTGAAAAATTTTCTCGAAACTTACCATCTTACCATCTGAAACTCTGAAACCTATAACTTATACACGTGGGAAATCTATTACCCATTATAAAAATTAGGGTGCGGACAGTTTTGTAGCCTATTGTTTTGTAGCCTATAATAATACATGAGGGTCCACATCCACCACGACTATGGGACTGATGTTATCATATGCACAATACTTCCTGACTGTGTCAAGCTATTATTTATTATACTCAGCTTTCCGTAGTTTTTTAGCTACAATTACCAAGAAGTAGCGCAAAAACTTAGACCGCGGGCCAAAGAGGGTCTGATACCCTTGTGAAGCTGATAATTTTTACACTCTGCATTTGCCTATTTACCTATTCACCTAACTGTGCAACCTGTGAGTGAATAAGTGACACTGGCTTATCTTAATAACCGTTTTTGTTTTTTATTTTGAAAAAACTTAGTTTTCATTCTGAATTTTCTCAGTCAATGCAAAAACAAAATTACAAAAAGTGCAAATGATGTAAAACTTGTTTTTGTCCCTTCTATTGTGACGTTCGTGACGTGGAAGACAGAATCTTTTTGATTGATACTCAAATTACAACAAAACAGTACAAAAAAACACAGATTTTTTGAGTTTTTATTGTATAATTAAAACAAAAAAATTTTTTGGTAATTTTTTTCTACTGATTCCAATTGTTCAACAAAAAAAATAATCAATTTTAATTTTTTTGAGAGTTTTCGTCGCCATTGATTTGTGTTAATAGTCTAAAAAAAATTTTGTTTTCCGTAAATGCTGTTTATAACCAGCTTCTTCACTGCGTTTGAATAAAAAAAAAGAATTTGTGAATAATGCGTTGGGCATTTTTTGACTCGCGCTTCTTCTCAAACTTAATAATATTGGCGCCAAAAATGCCTCGTAAAAAACAGGCATGATCAACCATAAACAAATCGAAAGAAAGACATCACGGAGCTGAAAAAAAAGAAGAGATCATGATCCTGCAGATTGTCCCACAAATGAAATACCAATATAAACTAACTACCTCAAACACAAACATTCGTAATCAAAAAGGACTGTTAGACACAAAAAATTTAAATTACTCTCCTCGAACAACAAAGAAAAAAACTTTCAAAAAATTTACCTTCGATGAAACTACATTTAGAAAACTTCAAGAAACTCAGCCAAGCGCACAGTACTATGCCGGCTATATCTTCAAAATTGCGAAGCCAGTTTGTTTGACGGATTGTCTTTCAAAAAAATGAAATGAGCGAATAATTAATACAATTCTATATTTCACTCCAAATGCTCCTATTTATACTCAACGTTGGAGTAAAATAATAATATAAGGGCTAAACATTGAGCTGAGACAGCTGTGTTACTGTTGCATTCCGCTACGGCTCTAATTCAATAATTCAAACCTCAAAGAGTTGCTCTGCGTAAAATTTTGCCTGCAAAAGCTGTTTTCTTCCAGATCAATTGAATGCTTCCTAACACTCGTAGGACTGTTATTGAAGCAATGGGATGTTATTTCCATTTTTGCACCTGTCAACTAGACCTAGCTTAACTGATGATGATCTCAATTAGAAACCAAGAAAAAAGAAGTGGATAAGCTTCGAATAGATTACAATCGAGAAAAAGATGTTCCGTAGAAGAAATGTGGGAGTGTACTTGGTGGGATGATTTTGAAAACAACGTAGACGTAATAAATCACGTTAAAACTCTCTTTCCCTTCAAAAGACCTCTTTCTTCCAAATCAATACCGCAAAAAAAATAGAATTGAAACAATTTTAGGTGCAATGCGATCTGAGTGTTCCAGGTAAACTAAAAGCAAACATTTCCAATTTTCCACATATTTTCAAAATTATTGATGTGACCAGAAACGATATTGGGGAAAATAAGAAGATATCCGCGGAAGAAAACAATTGAAACAGTTTGTTGAAACAACCGCACGGAATGTTGATATCAAGCTTCATTTTAACCAACGGAAAATTTATTATATCATTTTTCGTCTTTTACTTGGATCCTGGACTACAGTGTACAAAAACTCATAGAGTTGTAAAACACAACACACACTGCATATAGTATTCAACAGTTTCGATCAGTCTGTTGTTGAAGCTATGCGGCCAGTGATGAAAATATATTATCTGGTGTGGCAGCCGAAACAATGAAATTGTTATGAAAAATTTCCTGTGGCCATCAAATAATATCACATCAAAACATACAAGCAAAAGAAACCTTAGAGACTAAAGGACCCATAAAGATATCAACAACCAGTTCTTAAAGAGATTCAATTTTGAAGAACGCGAAGTGGATACTGATTCCCTCTGTTTGGCTCAGGCAAAAGAAGATTAAGATGAAAGTATCTTTCCCAGCAAGCTAGCAGAATGGACTGAGAAGCGAAGCAAAAACTGTCGACATAACTTCAGAGCAGATGCGAAAAACAACTTTTTCCCCACTACTTGCTGTTCTATTTATAAAAACATGGCTAGAGAGAACCAGGATTGTTCAAGGAGGATACACCAAAATATTGTACCTGTGTAATAAAACTTAATGCTGTTACGATAGTAAAATCCAAAAGCATAGGTTTAGTAGTAAAGGACTTAACAAACGAACATTAGAAAATGGGACTGATGTTATCATATGCACAATACGTTCTGACTGTGCCAAGCTATTAATTTTATATTCAGCTTTCCGTAGTTTTTTTAAGCTACAATTGCCAAGAAGTAGCGCAAAAACTTAGACCGCGGGCCAAAGAGGGTCTGATACCCTTGTGAAGCTGATAATTTTTACACTCTGCATTGCCTATTTACCTATTCACCTAACTGTGCAACCTGTGAGTGAATAAGTGACACTGGCTTATCTTAGTAACCGTTTTTGTTTTTCATTTTGAAAAAACTTAGTTTTCGTTCTGAATTTTCTCAGTCAATGCAAAAACAAAATTACAAAAAGTGCAAATGTTGTAAGACTTTGTTTTGTCCCTTCTATTGTGACGTTTGTGACTGTTCCGTCTGCTTTTTGAGATTTATGGAGGAGTAATAACAAAAATAATTAAATGTTATAGGATGATATGAAAAAAAAACAATTTTCTAAAGTTTGAAAATTTCTATGAAAATCATCACCCCACACGCCATATAGAGAACAAAACAGTAAATTTCGCTCCTTGTAACAAATCAATTATACCAAATAAACTTCTTTCAATCAATTTGGAACGATTTCTAAGACGGATTTAATCTCCGCTTACGCGTTAATAGTGCGAATTATATCGCGTTAATTGTCCCAAATTGATCAAATTGGCCAAAATGACAATCATTAAACCCCCATAACTTTACGAAAAAAGGTCACAGGTGAAAAATCTTTTCAAATTTAAGCTCAAGACAACAATAGTTTTCGAATGATATAAGAAAATTTCGTTAAAAATGGCTAGTTAAAAAGTCGAAATTTGTCTGAAGAAAAAAAACCCAACCCGAGCGCAAATATTCCGTTACTTTCGTATCGAAAGTCGGAACAACAATAAAAGAAAGTCAGCACAGAGAATTAACTACAGGCCAGTTTCGTTAACAATACTTAATGTAACAAATATTAGCGCATTCTGTTTAGACAAATCATTGTAATAAAAGAATACTTTTTAGCTACACTTAATATGGTTTCCTAGAAAATCAGACGTCGATTGACGCGTTCATAACTTTAATTGGAGAAATAGTATCGAGTTTTCGAGTAAACAATTATACTTTAGCTGTTTTTCTTGACCTAGCTACAACATTTAATTCTGTTTAACATCAAACATTTCTCAACCAACTTATTTCATACGATTTTTTCCAGTCAAGCACATGCACTACCGGAAAATTTACGTTAAAATTGGTGACACAAATTGTAGCTGGACTACGGTAAATCACGGGGTACCGCGAAGGTAAAATGCTCGATCCGATAGTTATCATAATATACGGTAACAAGTGATAAATTTCGCTTCTAGTAACAAATCAATTATGGCAAATAAGCTTCCTTCGACCAATTTGGAGCAATTTCTAAGACGGATTAAACCTCCGCTTGCGATTTAATAGCGCGAAATGTATCGCGCGTTATTTGTCCCAAGTTGGCCAAAATGGCAATCTTTAAACCCGCATAACTTTACGAAAAATGATCATAGGTGAAATATCTTTTCAAATTTAAGCTCAGGACAACAATACCTTTTGAATGATATTTAAAAATTTCGTCAAAAATGGCTAGCTAAAAAGTCGAAATTTGTCTGAAGAAAAAAAAACCCACCCCGAGCACAAATATTTCTTTATTTTCGTATCGAAAGTCGGAACAGTAATTCTAGAACTGAACTGGAATTCATGTTCAAACCGTTCAATTCGAGCAGGATACATCTGTAAATTTTGAAGAAAAAGTCTTTCCTGTTTTGTAGTATAGCATACAAGTTACACTAAAACCTGTAACGCTATATTTACTCATCTTCACAATTTTCAGAAGCCAGCCTGAATTGACTTAATCTTGTTTGTTGGTTTGTTAATTTATATAAAAAGGCATGCATTCTTTAACCTCGGGCCGGTTATGTTGACAAATTTACGTGTTTGTCAAAAAAAATTTTGAAGAAAATTCATGAACTGTTCTTATAATTTGAGCTTTTGGCGCAACACTAGTTTTTTTGACATGAAATAAAATCTTCAGAGTTCAGTGGAGGTTAATCTACGCTAGTTCAACATCATCATAGGCGAAGTTATCCGTTCCCCCTACTTCTTCGTCGTCCTTGAACACGACTGAGTGTTCACGCCCCCTGCCGGAGTGGGCAGAGGAGGCGGAGGAGGAGAGTATTCCCTTTCTGCTTCCCTCTTTCGAGTCCAGGGAGGAATCTGATCTGGCTCTATCCGGAGGGGCACCAAACTGAACAAAAACATACTGTAATTTATAAGCGTGGGGAAGACTTCAGGGACCTTTAAAAAAGTTCAATGAATTTGGAGAATTTTCTGGAAACTTTTTTAGAAATGAGCCACGACAACTTTCCCAACATCTTACGATCGGTAAGCGTCACATTAGAAAATTTTCTAAAATAGTTTTAATAAAAATAGGAAAATGTTTCTGGAATAGTTTTGCAAAAATAGTGACAAAAAATTAATTTCTAGAAACACCTTCTATCTTATTGGCTCCCATGAAGAGATATAAACTACAAAGTCTACTAAAAAGGTTGTATTTAAAAGTGTCTTACTGAGATATTACGTTCCCCACTATCAAAAAAATTGTCCGCTAAATAGAAAATAGGGTGTTTTCCTGAGGTTTTGGGGCTGATCAAAATCAAACTAGAGAACCTCGAATCTTTTCGAAAATTATAGCAAAAATCACCACACTGAAAACTGATTATATTCTCATTTTGACTCTCCCCCCCCCCCCAACTGCAAAATTTTACAGTAATTTTTCTGTTCACACTGTCGGATTATTACAAAATTTGGCATACGGACTGATAAGGCCATTACAAACATATTTGGTCTGAATAATTAACCTTGTAAAACCACGCGTTACACCAAAAAGTCGATACTTATGTGAGGTGGGGGAAAAGGAAAAAGAGCCCTCGTTTTTTAAGGATATGTATGGCTAAAACCCGGGCTGAGGTCCGCGGTGAATATCGAATTCATAGTGGTCGCACATCTTACCATCGAGCGATGAATAATCCGAAAACTGCAGAAAGTTTTCAAGAAAACTGATGAAGATAATGTTTATAGTATTTTATTCCTACAGCAATAACATTTAATGAATATTAAAAATTTTGATTTAAAATTTTATATATCACAAATAAAAAAACTGGATAAAAAATCTGACCTCTTCATCGTTGCCTTCCTTGTCTTCTTCTTTCTCTTTGTCTTTATTTTTGTCCTCGGCCTTCTTGGCTGGCTTAGACATGCCCCAAGCCTTCATCAGAGTGTTGTATGCCCTCTCGAACATGAGCATGGACGAGATAAGTATGGTCACTATGGTCCAAATATTGGCGGCCACGAACCTACAAAACCAACAAACTTATATTTCATAGTGGCGTTTTTCATCTATTGGAAAAAAGTTTCGCGTTTTCATGTTTACGAACAGATTATACACCCAAAAATAGTGTGGAAAAAAAACTGCCGAAATATACACCCAACAGAAATGCGATCAGAATAAAACAGCCAGTAATATAAATATGCCATTTGAGTTTGAATTTGCCTGATTCTGGTAACATAGTTATTGTTCCGACTTTCGATACGAAAGTAACGGAATATTTGTGCTCGGGGTGGGTTTTTTTTCTTCAGACAAAATTTCGACTTTTTACTAGACATTTTTGACGGAATTTTTTGAATATCATTCGAAAGGTATTGTTGCCCTGAGCTTAAATTTGAAAAGATATTTCATCTGTGATCATTTTTCGTAAAATTAGGGGTGGTTAAAGATTGCCATTTTGGCCAATTTGGGACGATTAACGCGCGATATTATTCGAGCTATTAACGCGTAAACGAGATTTAATCCGTTCTTAGAAATCGTTCCAAAATGGTTCAAGGAAGCTTATATGCATCAGGTAGTAAAGATTATATAAAATTTCCCACTGACATCTAGATTCTTAGGGTTTTTAAGGCTATTGAACAAGGACTTCTATATCTATGTCACTGTTTTACTTTCAAAGTTCTTCTGCCAATTAGCACTTTGTCATCTGCGCGGAACAGCAAAATTTTGAACTCGAATCTTCATGTTGCTCGTAAGCATTTTTGATACTTATTTATTGTTGATATATAACTAATCCTGCCCAAAACGCAAGGTTGAGACACGCATAGATTAGAGGGGTACCGTGTAAACAACCGATGTGTCAAACATACGAAAAACCGAAAGTGTTGCAAACATCCGAAAAACAGCTTCACTGGGGCAATCGTCAGACTTCTTCAAAAAGTAGGACAAAGATCTGATTTCTACCGTTTGCTTAAGAGAATCTGTAGTGGTCAAACGAAGACGGAACGCGATTGTTGCGAGCTTGCCAACAGATGTTAAAACAGTTTATGACAATTAGAGCCGGTAACTGCCGCGAAGCTGTGACGCGCTCCTATAGCGCCAACTGGCGACCGTAAACCGAGATTCGACTAAATCGGAACCGGATAATTGAACTTGTGTTTTTTCTTTGGAACTTCAACGCCAGAAAATATGATCTAACGCCACAATTACGTTTGAAACATCGGATATTTAAATTAGACCTAGTTTAGAGTAGAGAGCTCTAGTTACAAAGTAGGTATGTTTTCATTCATTACGACAGGAAGCTGGGGTGCTTTGGTAGTGGTTTCAATTCAGCAATCATTGTCCCTCAAAACCGCTAGTTTGCGTTGAATTCTGCAACATTTGAAAAGCCTTCCAAGACAGAAATCTGATTGAAAAGAAAGTCAAGAGTTTAAGTACTGCGTGCTAAAACTACGTGCGAGCTTAAATTTGGAATCCAGCGGTCACAATGGGAATTTTCGAGACAAATGTTACGACATGCTTGTTTTGAATTTTGCAGTCAAATGTGGTTTGTCAGTTGGAGTAAATTAAAACAAAATACCTGGGAGTCAGTGGATTCCGCAGTCAGTTAGTTCTTTTTCTCCCAGGACTCCACAAGCAATGTATTTGAACATGTATTGAAACACTTTTTCATCAACTTATTTTTGTAGATTATGTAATGAACGAGTCCCCTACAATTTCAAAAAACTTCTGCTCTCTAATTTCAATTTTACATCAAATTTTATGTCGCCAAAGGAGACAAATAAGTCTCTTAATATCCTCTCCCCCTTGAGTATTTAGGACAATTGTCTTAAGTGCTGAGGGGGTTGTAACACGAAAGGTCTTGCCTCACTTAATTAACTGAGTGCAGCAAAAAGTTATCCTAACAAAAAGATAATAACCCGGAAACCTTCCGCACTAAAATTGAAACTTTCCCGGCTAATGTTACCGCTTTCAAAGAGCATCATGTAACCACTAGGCCAGATGGCATTAAAATGAGGCGAGTAATTCATTTGCTAAGCATTTCAGAACATATGGCTAAATAGATGAAGCAGAAGTCACTCGCCACCTCCTGAACGCCTCAACTTCGTTTCCTCAAACCAATGATTTGGGAACCTCCTGAACGTCACAACTTCGTCTCCTCAAACCAATGATTTGGGAACCCTAGCTGTTTTTTGTTTTCAACCAACCACTGATAATTTGAGGTAAGTTTAGGTAAGTTATTCTGATTTGCAGCTATGAGAAAATTCTCAAAGAAACATGCCCCGATTTTTAATTCGGATTGTAATACAAACAGATGCTAAAATTCTTATTTGATACTTTTTGGCCGCGTAACAGAAAAAAAAACTGTGAGGATATTTCACCGAAGCCAACAGAATCATGAAAAATGAAAAAAGGACAAAAAGTAGTTTGAACATCTCCCATCTTTCAAAAAAACTTGAGTAAATGGTCCATATTAAAGAAATTGAAGAAAGTAATTTCAGTGTTTTAAATGTAGTTTTAGTTTAAGCAACCAATCAACTAGTCTTCTCATACTGATTCTTTTACCTGAATGTAACGAAACCGTGCCACTGAAATATGTTCCGAGTGTCATTTGTATATTAAAGGTAAAAAAAAAAATTATATTTTGTTTTATGATCCTTTTTAATTTTAATTGAAAAGAAATTGTTGACTCATATGGAACCTGATCTAAACTACATTTTATGATTGGATAATTTAGATATTTTACCAATGTAAAGTATTTAATATTAACCAATCATGATCCATCTAACTAACAACACACTTATTTGTAAGTGCTGAAATTACTTGTAATTTCAGCACCAGAGAGATTTGAATTTAACTTAGAAATTAGTTGGACTCTCCCGAGTACTTCAGCAGCCGCAATAAACCAGTATACCCTAGATCTATTGAGCCTAGCAGAGACTAGTTAAACAACCTGAGACTAGATAGTATAAGAGTAAGATTAGGATCGGTATTAGACTAAGAAGTTGCACGAATCTATCCGGCCGAAAATAAGATAGCGTGACGAGCAGACGGTGTACCCTATCCATAATTACTCTATGAGTTATACCCATCGGTCCTAACTCATCTGCTGCGACCATAAGTCTCGAACAAGACCTTAATAGCTTAGAATTAACCAAAATAGATTAGAAATTAGACAAAAACATTTACAAAATGTTATACGACGATAATTTAATCAAAATGTCTCTACGACTCAATAGATCAGAGCCAATATTCCGAACCATAACAGAACTACCCGGAATTGGAAGAAGACCTCGAACCAGAGACGACATACGACAAAGTAGAAACTTGCCATATAGTTATATGATAGTTCGGCAAAAGCCAGAACAAACTTTTGTATTTAGAATACTACTCGCAATGAATTTAGATTTTCATTTGCAAACATAAAACCTTGAAGTCAACCTTCAAAATCATTTCAGGCGCTAAACAAAATTATTAATATACAATAACGATTGATAAAAAGATCTCAGATCGTTTTCTTAAATTCTGCAGTAATATATAAAACATGTTTGAAAAATATTTATTGGAAAATAAAAATAAAAATTAGTAGCATGACAATAAATGGTTAGTAATCACGAATCATCCTGTTGTTCCAGCTTCATCATCTAAACATAACAGCATTCATAAACTCACTAACATCATCAAAAAACTAAATCTTTTCTTTACACAAATTTAAATCTTTATTAAAACTTCAATTCACTTAATTTTAAAATCAGATCATCAAGGCTTATCCTTGGATCTTAAATCATTTTCTACTTAATTAAATTTCAAATTTGATCATCAAGGCCTATCCTTGGATCAAAAAGAACAACTTTGTTCTCCCCCACCCACTTAACTAGTGTCTAACGACCTCAAACGTCGATTCACTATCCAACCCTTTCTAAAAGACCCAAGACTAATAGAAATTTTTAAACAAAACTAATCATTCAAATTAGGATAAACAGTGAAGAACTTCGGTTATTCATCCTTCACTTGACCCCCCCCCCCCCCTCTTACCAGACCCAGGATAAATCTTAGACTTAGTAAGTTTAAAATAGTATCTAACGAACTACTCGCGTTCTAATTATACCTGAACCTTGTGGATCGATTTACTATTCTCCAACCCTTGAACACAATCACTACCCCTAAGTAAGATTAAGTAAGTTAACACCTTAGCTTATATTAGTCACGAGAAAGTAAAAATCATTCTTCGGAATAGATATACTTTTCTCTCCAACCCTGAACAAATAGACCCAGGTTAAGCTAACCAAAAAATCGTAAGGACTAACAGTTTAAGCAAATAGAATTCACTTAACAACCTTTTGCACCCGTCATCCTAAACCTTATGTCATTTAAAAACCTAGGAAATAAACAAACAATCGTTTTACACAATTGTGAAATAGATAACAAAAAATACGACCTTGTAATCACACCTCATACACAAACAGTTGGATACATTCGAACAAAACGACAAACACTAAAGAGAAAAATAATAACTAAACAAAGACAAATAACACGAAAAAGATTTTCAAAAAACCGAAACGCATTTTCAGAATCAGAAACCAACAGTTTAGACGAACTTTACAAACTAAAAGAATCAATAGATAAAAATTGTCCAATTCACGATCAATTATATTTCTCTGACTCAGAAACAACTTCAAATTCATCAAAAAGAGGAAAAAGAAGAATAAAAAAGCAGTATAAACACAAACCAGTACATTTATACAATTGGAATCAACCAATTAGACACATTAATAATTACATATTAACAGTCATCGAACGAAAAAATGAGCTCAACGCACACCCCAGGTGAAGAAAGTCCAGATGATGATGATATCTTTCCTTTTATAGTAGATGCAACCACAGATAGAGGACAACATATATTTTGCAAAAATTTACTCTTAAATTTATTTGAACCCGGAATCAGTACATGTAAAACAGAGTTCCCAGATGTAAAAATCAAAAGACAAATTATCGATCACTATCTAAAAGATATATGTAACTTAACAC